AAAGAATGGCTCAGCCACTGGAAGGGGGAGGCCACCTCCAGGGGAGACAGGCAGGTGGCCAGCTACAAGCCGAGCCAGGGCTTGTGGGTGGACAGGGGCAGGAAGAGCACCCAGGAAGAGAGATCCTCATGACAAAGGCACAGAGATGCACAGAGCTGGGGGCGGAGGGATGAGGGTCATGTAGGTGGGGGAGGATGAGGACAGGAAGGAGCCTGTGGTCCTTCTGCCAGGGCTGTGTTGGGAAGACCCAGATGAGGAGTCACAGGCTGGGTGCTCGTGGCCTGGACCACTGGGCACCCTGGCCCTATGACCAGGCAAGGGTGCAGTACACTGAAGGGAGGCCCCGAGGAGCTGAGGTGAGCAGGGGCATGCAGCAGAGCAACTGGGACTGTAGGCCAGTGCCCAAGGAACCCTGAGGCTGGGTGGCCGCTGGAGTGTGGGGAGGTGACCGAGCCCCCGGACTGGGCTGGAAGGGTCCCGTCCTGTGCCTCACACCCAGAAAACCCAGGGCTCCTAGCTTTTGGCCCAACACCTCCACCTGGACCACAGGAGACACTCAGTGTCTCGTCCAAGAGGAAAGAACTTTTCTAAGTTAAACTGTGTCCCTCCAAAACCTCTGGGTTGAAGCAGGGGAGGAAGGAATAGCAAAATGAATGACCAGGACACTAATCAGTCGCAGATGGACTTCCACAGCTCACAGTCTGATAACAGGGCCCCAAAATACCGCCTTGTTGCTACCTCAGAAGTCAAAGCACAAACAGGATGGCCAGGCACTGTCCTGTGTGGCCTTGCATTGACCTTACAGCATCAGCAGGTCAAAGAAAGAAGTGCAGTGACAGAAAATCACGTCCCTTGCACCCTGCAGAGGCGTCACCTGGGCTGGCACATGCACCTGCTCTTCACGGGGTGCTGTCCTTGCCATGGGCAGCAGCCATCAGTGCACATCCACCCAGGTTAATGGAGGACTTGAAAATGCATCAAGGAGCCTCATCAGGAACCATCACACATTAGGAAACCAGGCCTGAAACGTGTCTGAGAAGACATCAGCAGACCTCAGCTCCAGGGTCTCAGCCGCAAGGAGCCTTGCGTCCCAGGGCACCTCGGGGCCACTGTGGTGGGACCTGCTGGAGGCGTCTGTCTTTAGAATTTCCTGCTGAACACTTTTATGAACAAGTTGGAAGAAGATTCGAGAGGCCCGTCTATCATGTTTATCTAAACTGCAAAGGTCGAGAGGCAGAGCTGAGTGCGTGGAGAGCCAAGACGTGGGAACACTTCTACAGGGTGAACTTAACAGGCTCACACTTGGTCAGAGCCGTGGTGCAGCGAGGCGCTTCAGATCCTATTGTCTTACCATGAGTTTTACTGTGAATAAGGTCCAGAGAGTGGCCGTAGTCAGGCCCAGGTTGTCCTGCAAGCTCCCCACGAGGCTCAGGGGCCCTGGGGACCTGACGGGCCCATGGGCACCTCTGCAGACCTCTCCCCAGAGGCAGGGCTCTCTGCACAAGACGGTGGCATCCCAGCTGTTCTGTTGCAGACTCAGCCCAAGGCAGACTTTTTCCTCACGTGCCTCTGGGGCAAATCGAACGCCCTCGATTCCTGCAAAGCCTGCCGAATTGCCTCTGGGGCAACTCGAACGCCCTCGATTCCTGCAAAGCCTGCCGAATGGTAGTGTTGGTGGGAATGCCAACCCAAAGGCCACCTTAGAAACCCTTGCACCCGGCCCCTGAACATGGGGACTTCAGCCCTGGCTCTTGGTGGTGGCTATTTGCTATGGCACGCCACGGTTCAGTCCAGGCCCACCAGACTGCACCCCGGGGGCAGGGCACCACTGGTTTGGCCAAACCGTCCTTGTGCCCAGCACAGCACAGGTGGATGCCACGCACTTGCAGGGAACGCTGAGTGACAAAAGCTGTTGCTTGGGTCTGCAGGGGTGGCTGGTGGGGCTGTCGTCTCTTTACCAGGTAAACTATTCTGGATACTCTGCAGAAGAATCCAGGGGAAGAGGCCTGGGTGAGGGTTCAGGGGAGATGCCTGTGTCAGTGGGTGTGCTCAGGGGGGCTGAGGGACAGAGTCGGGAGGAACAGACCCTCCGTCTGGGTGGAGACCATCACCATCGTGTCCACACTGAGTGTGGGAAAGAGGGCAAGGAACGTGTGGCTCTGGAGCGAGGAACCCCCGGGGGTGTGGTGCCCAGATTTGGGGAACACCTGCATAGGTGGAAGGTCAGCCCAGGCCAACCCTGGACCCAGAGCTTTCCCCTAAGCAGTGTGTGACGTCCTCGCCGTCATTCCCGTGCTGCAGTCAGACCTCCCCCAGGATCAGCCAGTCCTTGTGGGGCTGTCAGGGAGCCTGTCCTGTGCTCAGCGCCTCTCACCCTCCGTGACGCTTGGGGCCCACCCAGCTTTACTTTCAACAAAAAGTATCAGAACTTACTTTTGGCTAAATGTACAAGAATCATTCAGTCCCAGGAATATAAAAACTACATTCAGCTCATTTGCATTTGCCTCTGACCTCTTCTAATGGAGCTGATGGCTGGGCACTCTGGACGCGTCCCGTGGTTCTGCACAGAGTATTTTGTTGAACAAGTGATAATGTGCGATCATTTTTGCGCTCACAATGCTCCTCTTAATCTTATTTCAAGTTACAACAATATGAGCCTTGTTTCCACTCTTCTATTTTTAACTAATGAAAATTTATTACAAAGAAATCCTAATTATACCCTTTTGGAGTGTAGTACAATTGCAAATGCTGGAAATTTCTATTTCAAAATTCCATATCATTGCAGAAGCAGCGCAGGATGTAAGTTCTTGTGAGCACTGGGTCCATAAATAAAATCCCCAATGGGCCAGCAACCCTCTGTCTCCCTGTACACTCACTTTGGTTTGACAGGACAAACCAGTAGTCGGTATGACAGCCCTCGTGTGTGGAGACCCCTTGCTGGACAGAGCTGGGCATTCTCAGCAAACACATTCTCTAAGTACCTGGATCAGTCATTGCAGGGAAGAAGCACACTTGGCAGGCTGGGCAGCCTGGATCAGCCTGGCCTGACAGGTGAATGACCTGTGTCCCTGTCCTGCACCCCAGGAGGAATGGTGCAGGCTCCACCTGATGTCCATGGCCTGGAGGAGGCCTACTTGGGCCACCTAATCTCACCACGGGGACTGCCCTGTGCATCGCATGGTGGTTAACGTCATCTGCTTCTAGATGCCAGAGGCGTTCCTCAGCTGTCTGCAGACATGGCCCTGTCTTCCCAGAGCAGATCCCCCACTGACAGCGCTGTACGAATGTCAGAGAAAACCAGAGCTAGGCAGTGAAGTGGTGACGATGCTGCACTCAGGGCTGTCACGATCGGGGAGATCCCAGCACAGAACAGGGCTCAGTTCGAAATCAGCAGGAGCAGCAGGAAATTACAGCCAGGGAGGAGGGTGGAGGTTATGGACAGAAAACTACCAAGAAGATGTGTCAGTGGTGGGCGGGGTCTGGCAAAGCTAACTGTAGGTTAATTGCTGAAGGCAGGACAGAGTGTCCATACAGCCCCTGGGGAGGGTGAGGGGGAGGACCCTGAAGGACAACGGGATTGGATGTTGTCCATTTGCACTCAGATTGCACAGTACAGAGCACTTGGAGGCCAGATTATGGAGGCCAGATTCCAGGCTACTAGAAAGCACAGGAGCTGAGTGGGGTGTGGTCCAGGAGAGAAGCCTTATCCCCAGCCCAAGATCAGGGAATCCAGGCTGGTGAGGCCTAAGGGACGCGACATTCTGATTCCCATCCTGAGACCAGGTTTGCCCACTTCCTTGGGACATGCCCAGAATGCAGGAAGCCCCGAGGTGCCCCTCCCAGTCCCTGCACTTCACCACCCCTGGCCAGCTCCACCCAGTGCAGCGAGGAGGGGCTGCAGAGCGGTGGCCTGTGGCTGGAGCTGTCCAGGGAGCCTCCACACCTGCTGCTTCGAACAGTGGCTGCGGGGGGCTGGGCATGGACAGGTGTGCAGCAGGGTCATGCTGCACAGAGGCCCTGCCAGGGTCAGAGTGGCTGCCGTGAGGCTGTGCGGAAGCCAGTGTGGGCCGAGCCTCCGTGACAGGCAGATGCAGGCTGCAGCCCCAAGGACTGGGATGGCGGCTGATCAGAAGCTGCTCCCACGCTGGGTCAGGCTGGGGAGGAGGGGAAGCCCAGCCTGAAGGGAGCAGTGTCTGCACTTTGCCCACCGTTTTCTCCCACTCAGCAAGGTTTTCTGGAAGGAGCTTGCAGATTCTTCTAGCATAAGGCACGGAGCCCTGCAGAGGTCTGCCAAGGGCCAGTAGCGCTGAGGCAGCACCATACTTGGCAGGGTCGGTGTCTCCCTTCCTTCCAGGACAAGGAGGTCCCCCCAGTGAGAGCCCGGGGGAGCTGTGGTGAGCTCCCTGCCTGGTGAGATAGGCCCCGTGGCAGCCAGCCTCCGGGGCCTTGGCTGCAGCCACCCCTCCCTGCTGGGGACTTCACCAGGGACCCGGCAATGCCCAGCCTCCATCCTTGTCACTAAGTCACCCTTTTGGTTCCATCTCAGGGCAGCGACTTCCGTTCCAGAAACTCTTTCACTCATTTGTCCAATAAAGAAGGGAACTGGTGGTGAGTGGCAGGTCTCCCCTCCCCCGTGGTTGAGAGCATCTATGCAGTGACATGGGCACCTCAGCCTCTGTCCTGTGCAGGTGGCCGTCACAGGGACCTGAAGTGAGGGTCTCACCCACAGGCACCCTGTCGGCAGCTCCTGCAGCTCCACTGGCACGCGCCCACCATCCCCAACGGGTGCCCTGGGCCGGGCTTCAGTCTCCATCTCCTGCCCAGTGCAGCCAAGCAGCCTGCAGCCAAGGGCAGAGATCCCCACTCACCTGTTGCCTGCACCAGGCTTTATTTAAAGAGTTTCCAAAGATTCTTTGTTTCAGAGAAGTTTTAAAGCCGCAGTGAAAACCGGCTGGGCCTCCCAGGGCCTGTGTCATTTTTTTGCTCTTGTTCCCCTGAAGGACTGAAGGCTGTGAGAGTCCTGGGCCTGAGGAGCCACAGCCAGAGGACAGAGGCACACGGACACCGCCCCCCCAGATTCTGCTGCCCCTGGAGGAGCGCGCGACCCACTTCCGAGACATGCTCCTGGAGAGAGGGGTAAGGACATCCAGGGAGGGTGCGGGGCCTCAGCCTGGGAGGCTCCTCAGGGACAGCAGCCAGGGACATTGTCCTTGCAGGGTCCATGATTGAGCAGAATGGCACTTGGGTACTAAATCATTTGAGAATACTGGGGAAAACTGACATGGAGAAAGGCCCCTGCTTCTTGTCTTAAAGGAGAAAAGAGGCAGCCATGAGGTGTGGGGTGTCCCCATGTGAAAGCCCCACAGGGACAGGCAGAGAGGCCCCTTTGGAACAGGTCTCCAGGAAGACAGAAGGAGGCTCCTGCCCTTGTGAGGAAAATTGCTGCTATAGCCGGGCCAGGCCCTGGTGCCCCAACCACAGGGATGCCCCCCTGGGGATATCTTACCCACCAGGGACTCCCACGCCTTCGGATTAATATGACTATTTGTGAATAAAATTAGAATATCCTAATTGCAGCCAATTTCTGAATCTCATTTTGAATGGAGGGGGTTATATTTGAATCTCTTTCCAACAACTTTTAATTTCTTGCTTTGGCTTTTGGGTATAAAATGAGCCAGATACAATATTGTAACCCAGTTGGATTTCCTTAGAAAATGAGGCTGAACACAGAAGGTAGCAGTGGAACCTTCGAGTGAAGATAATTATAATGAGCACTGGAATGGCCTCCTGAATGCAAAGCAAATTCCCTCCACGGTCCACCCGCCCCCAGGCTGCTTCCTGGCTGGGCCCTCCGCAGCAGGTGCAGCTGGAGTTGGTGCAGGGCACTGGGAAGAGTGAGGGCAGAACCGCTCTGGATCCCCGGGGGCAGCCCAGTCTGAGCCCTCACCCCACCTGAGACCCAAGGAGCCCAGGCGGCTCCAGCCTTTCTGGATTCACCAGGAAGGAACGCCTCCCACCGCTGCCTGGGCCCTCTCCCTGGCATTGTGGATGCCAAGGTGTGCATCTCCATGCAGCCATGCCCCTGACGGGAAGGTGCAGGCCTTGGCATCAGGAGCTGGAGAAAGGAGGTGGGCCACAAGTGCCCTTGAATAAAAAACGAAACAGAACCCATGTCGGGTCTGGAAAGGGGGTCCAGGCTGCAGCTGTCACACAAATCTGTCTCAGGGTCCCTTCTCTGGGAGGCCCTCCCTAGGCTGCTGATGACCTGCCATGCGGGGTCCTGTCCCTGCCCCAGTACCCGTCCCTTTGCCAGGCCATGCTCCTGGAGGGTGGAGGAATCCCAGTGTGCGCTCCAGGATTTCCCGAGGATTTCCCCCTTGTGTGTGGAGGCTGCTCCAGGTGGGGCTGGTGTCCCCTTCCCCACCCCTGGACAGGCTCGGCCGTGGTCCCCAACGAGTCTTGGGGAGCTTTTCAGCCTTCTATGAGCGCTGCTGCTTGCCTTATCGCACTCCTGTTCCCGCAGAGCAGCTGCAGCACAGGGTCCGGGAAGCACCCTGTGAACGGGATGCACCCCACCCTCTGCCCAGAGCTGTGGGTCCTGGGCCTGCAGGAGACCGGATGCTCCTGTGAGCACTCAGGGCTGTGGCTGGCTGTCAGACCCGCCCAGAGCCTCTTGCCCTTACGCCCACCCTGTCTCCCACTGCAGGGACGCTGCAGAAGTACCCCTAACCCGTGTTTCTGAGTGGCCCTAGCCAGGCTGGTCCAAGGGCATTACCTGGAAGGAGAAGGGATCTCCCTCCCTGGGACACATTGGCATCATGAACTGTTGAGAAATAGGAGCAACACAGTTCACTTCATCTTACAATCAAGTGTTCCCATCTCTTTAGTTTGGAAACCAGCAAACCCAATTTACCAACAGACTTTTACACAACCAGGGGCCGAGAGGCTGGAGGGCTGGGTTCACACAGGCTCTTGAGTTTGTCCAAAGGGCCTTGCTGAGGGTTTTCACCAATGACTTCTGCAGTGCATTCTTTTTTCTCTTTCCTCCTTTTTTTTTGGTACCCAGGATTGAACTTAGGAGCACTCAACCACTGAGCACATCCCCAGCCGTTTTTTTGTATTTAATTTAGAGACAGGTTCTCATTGAGTTGCTTAGCGCCTCGCTAAGTTGCTAAGGCTGGCTTTGAACTCGCGATCCTCCTGCCTCAGCCTCCTGAGCCACTGGGATTACAGGCGTGCACCACTGTGCCCAGCTGCAGTGCATTTTTGACCTGCATTTTGACCTGACCAGCTCATTACAGTCTCTGATTCTGAGATTCTTAAGTGAAAATAGGCAGGAGGGAAAGGAAGCCAGTGCCGTGCTGCGTTTTCCTGGGAGAGGCAGGAGCTGTGCCCCGTCCCGCAGGGGCCACCTCACTCAGATAGAAAGACCAGTCCAATTTACAGCCCATGCCATAAAGCACTGCCACCATTTACGATTTGGGACTTTATAAACTATGCCAGCAGATTTCTTAAGTTGCTTCTGCTCATGAGAATTCTAGAGCTGAGCCTTGTAAGAGTTGTAGTTGCTTAAAGAATGAGGCCTAAAAGGTCACTTCTTTCATGGCTAAGTGATTAATAAGACTTTTATTGCCTTTGCTCAATACTTCAGCTCAGAGGCTCCTGTGCTCATGGAATGATGAGGCCAGGCCCCGGGGTTTCTTAGTGGTTAACCAAGGGCAGAGCTGGAGCTATTCCCTGGGCATCCTGGGCAGGGGCTCTGGTTGCCTGCCCCTGCCCCAGGTCAGTGGTGGCTCCTCGAGGTCAGTATGTTCTGTTTCTATTTTGGTACAAATTGCAATGGAGCCTTCTCTTAAAACTTGGTCTATCAAGGAGCACATCTGACTGAGCAGCAAGTTTTAACGGCCTGTCCAGGGAGTCCAGCAGGACATTTTCCTTGGGAACGTTTTCATTTGCAGTGTCCTTTGGAAGTAGGCAGTTCCTATGCAGGGGCCAGGAGAGCCAAGGCCCTTAGAGACCCTAGAACCTGACTTGGGTCTCAGAGTGCCCCCAGAGTCCTCTCATGTTCCTCTGTGAGTGACCGTTGGCCAGCTTTCCAGCAGTGGGGTCAGCCTTGGGGACCCTGGATGACCCTGGCCAGCTTGAATGAGAGCCCCTGGGGCTGGGCCCACGTCCTGTCACAGTGAGGAAGGAATTCCCAGGCCCACTCTGGCCTGGCCTAGTGGCCTGTAGCTGCCCTGAGATGGCCTTCCAGCACAGGGAGTGGCGTCAGGCTGGTGTAGGCAAGACAGCGGCTCCTTCTCAGGTCCTGGGCTAACAGAGCAGAGGGTACCTTTCCCAGGCAGCAAGAAGGGCAGCCTGGTTCCCAACTCTGTGCCCCACTGTCAGTCATGTCTGGCCCCTCCCTGCCCCAGGCACATGAGCACACTGCCAGTCAGAGCTGTGGCAGGCACCAGGCCAGGGCACCTGCTCGTCCTCACGGGGAGTGGCTGAGCTGTGCAGAGGAGGCTGTGTGCTCCAGTGCCGTGTGCTCTGTGCCCGAGTCTAGGCTGGAGAAGCTGATCACACTCCCATGGCAGCTACGGCAGCTCCTCTGAGCCTCACAGGCACTTAACACATTGCTAATAAGACGAGACGGTGACGAAAAGAGACTCAGAGTGTGAATGACACCATGCTGCATGCCATAAATACACGAATGACATTGCACTAGTAAAATGGTCAATCAAGAAAAGAATATCAAGGAAAAAATCCACCTAAATCCTACCCTTAGAGTGACTATTACCACCAATGGGGTCTATCTTCCTTCAAACTTTTTATTCCTCTAAAAATAGATTTTTAAGGGCTGGGAATACAAGTTGGTGGTAGAACTCTGGTCTTGCATGCACTAATCCCTGGATTCCATCTCTAGCACTGAAAAACTAAATTAAGAGGAAAACAGAGTTTGAAAAATCAAAACAAAATATTTTTACCTTCCAGCATAACCAATATGGAACTGCAGTTGAGCACAGCTGAACCAATGGCTTGTTCAGCAGTCGATGGATTTCACAGGGTTGAACCTAATTCATACTCTATATCACCCTCTTCCCTCTTCATTAGGGTAAACTCTCAGAAAACACTTCTGATGTGCTCATATTACCCCACTCATTGTCAGTTCAAAAATCCTGCATTTGAACTTATTAAGTATAATTCCCAATTTTTGTTACTTTAAATAATACTTGGCTGATCATACAGATAAGTAGTCGTGTGTGTGAGTGTGTGTGTGCTCACGCGCGCGTGTGGAATATGTTTCCTCTGGGCTGTAAACATTTGATCTCTGTTACCCAATTGTTTTGAGAAGGTTGTTGAAATTCAGCTTATTCTCCCAGCAGCGATGTTTGAGGTTCCTGGAGAACGTGTTTGGCCATACTGAATACTAAGGGATGTAAATATTTACCATGTGTCCTTTTAAAAACCACTCTCTTCTTCCTTCTTTCCTGCTTCCTCTAGGCTTCGGTGGCCTGCGTCCCCTTCTCAATGGACACTGGGCTCTGGATGTTGGCTCAGGCTTTGGGGTGGACGCCTCACTCATAGCAGTTGAATCAGCTCTAATGACAGAGCTGCCCCCTTGGGCTTGTGACCTGCCCACTGCAGCCTCTAGATGGGATTTTAACTGTCCCTAATGTGAAAGTAATCCTCAAAAGCAAATGAAGTGGACTGAGTACATTATGGAATAAGAGTGAAATTTTACCTATTAAAACAGGAAAAAATGCTGAAATTAGTAAAATTTGGCCATTCCTGCTGAAGGCCCCTCTGCCCACGTCTGCATTTACCTGAAGTTCACCTGGGCTCACGGGGCTTTCGGCATGCTGACCCCTCCAAGGGCACCTGTATCCAAGAAGGGATGGGAGTCCTACGCAGGATGCTGTTTGCCCATCCTGGTCATACAGATCTCTGTCAGTGTGAGCATGTTCTCTGAGTCACCCACCTAGTGGGGTCTACTCGGGCCACCTGCTCCTCTATGCCGGACTGCTCTTGGCAGAGCTGAGGCAGTGACCAGGGGCCCACCTTCTAGGACGAGGCAGGGCTTGGCCCCTTGCCCCAAGCCTGGTCCCTTTATCCTGGGGCAGTCACCTTTAATCACTGGGACACTATAGCCAGAAAGAGAAGACCCAGCAACATGCTCCAGAAAATGGGGTACAGAGCGCTGGCATTAAAAGACAAGGCTCTGTTCCCAGTCTGAGTGTGCAGGTGGAGTCCAGGGGTGGGCTGAGAGGCTGGACAGTGACAGAGCAGGACGCCCTCCTGCCTGCACCCCCGGGTGCCTGGACCCAGATGCTCCTGGGCTCAGGCCTGAGGGAGACTGGAGAACCCACTTCTGTGTGGCTGGGTGTCACTTCCACCTGCCCCCAGTGGTCTCGGTGACACTCCAGAACCCCACGCACATTCCAGGAGGAAGGACTGCTGCATCCCTGGCTGAGGGTTATGGCCAATTCCCTGAGAGCCGGGCACAAGAAGGGACAGGAGAGACAAGTGCCGGAAAGGGAAGAAGGCCCCAGCCATGGTCAAGGGCCCAGCATGAGCTGGCAGAGGCTCAGGGGAGGGGACCGTCAATGACCAGGGACCGGGGCTTTCTTGGCAGCTGCAAGGAGAGGCCACTGCACACAAGGCAAGAAGGGGCACCGTCTGTGCCTCTTTCCCTTCTGTCTTTAACACATCACAACTCATGTCACATGGGCGCCTCCCTCCTTTGTTCACCTCAATAGGCTCTGAAGGCAACAATGTCACCGCTCAAGTGCTGTCCCCACTGGGGCACAAGCTGGGGGAAAGGGCCAGCCCTGGAGGGGCCAGAGCCTGGACCAGAGATGAGCACCCTTGAGACTGGTCACTTCTTCTGCAGGACATTCACGCCTGGACAAGGAAACACGACCTTGACCTTGGCCAACAGTTGACGTCCCAGTTTCACTATCACCGTTTTAATATGCCAAGGAAGTGAGAGACCAAATGTGTGTGTCTTGCTTATCAAACTTGGTGAGGGACAATGTCTGAAGTAACTGGGTCTATATCTAGGGTGGAAATCAGCCCTGTTCCCCATGACCTGGCTGCACAGCCGCTGCTCCCCCTAGGACATGCACGGGGGCCAGTGTAGACAGACGGATGGCACATGCTTCTGTGCATGCACAGGAACGATGGTGTCCCCAGGGCTGGCCTTAGGTGGGAGCCAGGTGCCCAGTGACAGTGAGGGGGGCCCTGGGCTGCCTCTGCAGGGGTCTCCTTGGCTGGGGAGACCAATACACTCTCCAGTACACAACCCGTGACACTCACCCTCTCCTCTGGCCATTAGGATCGCTGGCCCTTGTTGATCCAAGGATCAAAACATACTCGACAGGCTTTTTAGGTGAGAAGACTGAAAGCCCAGTGCTTGCCGTGGAGGCTGTTCCCCTGATGAGGCCTGACTGCGTCCTCACCCCGAGATGACTGGCTGGCACCGGGCGCTGACAGGACCTCTGTCTTCACACGTTTCAGCCTTCTCTGAACTCTCCCGGCCACTTTACTTAAATGGAATCCATTTGTCTTGAAGCTGAATTGTCCCCAGGAGCAACGCAAAATCCTTTTACCCCTTTCTGGAGAGGCTTTGCTGGCGCTCGGTGGAGGCAGAGCAAATTTCTCTGGCTGTCTTCTGCGTGGTCTCCACCGAGTGAGGTTTCTTTATGCACCAAACCTCAGTCACCTTCCAGTGGGTGTGACAGAGGCTCTGCTCATCCGTCCCCAGTGGGGGTGCCAGGCAGCCATCACTGGGGCATGACAGGGCTCGTTCCCTGCAGAGTCCCCGGCCTGCCGTGAGTGCTCAGGGGAACATGAGGAGAACGCCACAGTAGCTGGTACTCTGGATGCAGGCTGCTCAGCATGCCCTGTGCCCCTGGGCATCCAGGCCTGTCTGCTGCCGTGCCAGTCCCCTCTCGGAGGTCCTTTAGTTCCCCCATCTGCCTTCTCCTGCCCCAGGGCTTCCTGATATCATGCGGCCTTGAATTATTTTCTCTGAATTCTCAGCACCCAGCACAGGACCGAGGCAGAGTTTATCCTAAGCCCATGTTTCTGAAAATGAATCGTTTTTAAATGACTCAGGCAGCCTTCCCTTGCTATCTCTGCTGAGTCCCATGCAGCAACCCTGGATGTGGTTCCTATCACAGCTCGCTGGGACAGAGGTGCCAAGGCTTCCTGCAGGAATGACTGGCTTGGGGCTCAGGCAGGCACATTTCAGCTAAGCCTGGAGCCCTGTGCAGAGCTGCAGAGCATGGGGCTGGCAAAGCAGACTCAGGAGCACACGTCAGGCATGCAGAAGCCAACAGAGGACTCCCAGGGCTGACGCTGGAGCAGTGTGAGCAGCAAGATGTGTGCAGTGGAATTGGATCATGAGAGTACGCGCTGCATACCATGTGTCCTCACAGATGAAAGAAACAGCTGAATAAATGAGTGAATGTGGAAGAATCCAAATCACTTATGTAGCCACTGCCCTCGGTTAGCAGAGCTTGCTAAGTGTGGGCTGAAGTGTCCACCTCCGTCAGGGTGCAGTGGGCAAAGGGCAGAGTAACCTGGAGGTGGAGACACGGACACACCTCAGCAAGGTGGTTGGGTCCAGGCCCCAGTGCTGAGAGCCGGGCATGGTGGGGACCCCTGATGTCATGCATTACACATGACACAATAGCCCTGTGGACTTCTTCCCAAACCCATAGCCCCAGATGATCCCAACCCCGGGGGATCTTGCATCACACCTGTCAGCACCCCAAACAGCAAGGCCATCAAAACCCAGGGAGTCTGAGAAAGTCCCCAGGTGTAGAGGAGCCTCTGGAGACCTGAGAGTAAATGTCAGGAGGGGTCCCGAGAAGAAAAGAGAAAGTCCTGCAGGAACCGCAGGATGAGTGGCTTTGTTAACAGTGGTGGGAGGGTGACGGCATGAGAAGCCTGGCCCACTGGCAGAGTTGGGGGCAGGGGAGCCTCCCGAAAGGTTCTAGCAAATTTTCAGTAATGCTAAAACTACTATGAAATGAAATACGTTGCTTTTAACAGTAACCCACCTAAAAGATGCTTGATGTTGATTAAAATACCAACCAAAGTTCTGCTAACCCAGCCTGTTTGCAAGACATAGCCCTCTATGTGACCCGCAGGTTCTGAGAACGTTTGCAAATATCCTCTCTGCTCTCAAGACTTGGCAGCAGTGCTTTCTCCATGGAGACCGGGGCCTGCAGACCAGGGCTGAGCCCTGGAGACTCCCAAGGAAGGAACAGTGTCACGAGTCTAGAAATTAAATTTCCTAATGTTCTAAGCATTGATTTTCTCGAAATGTTCACACGCTTTCATACAATGCCGCGTCGCTGATCTGTTGTACTCCCATGTTGCATTTTTTTTTTTAACCATTGATCATTTCAGCACAACCCCAGCTCAGAATCTGATGCTAATACCAACTCCATTGAATATCTTTCTCCAGGTGTCAGCGTTTTCTACTTGGGAGAAAGAATTGCACAAAATTGTGTTTGACCCGCGCTATCTCCTGCTAAACTCTGAGGAGCGGAAACAGGTACGGTGGCGTCCAGCAGGAAGACCACTGCAGACACAGTGCTAGGCGGCGGCTCTGGGCTTGTCATTGCTGGTGGACAGCTGCCCTCTGACTGCCCGTGCCTCGGGGAGGGGAGCGTGTGGTGCGTGCTGGAGCTTCGAGCTTGTGAACAGGGGTCAGCGGTGCAGGGGGGTCTCTGCTGGGAATCCTTCTTACCTGACCGTTCAGACTTGACCAGAGGTAAACATGCAAACTGGGAGACGTAAGACATGTTCCAGTGACTGTACTCAGTTGTAAAGGCACCGGGCATGTAAGGTGCCATGTGAGTGACTGGGAGAGGTCCAGGGCACACTCCTGGAATAAGCAAAGGGTAGGTGTTCTGGAAAGCAGGTCCCAGGACAGCAGGGCTGGCTTGGAGACAGGAGTCTGGAAGCTCTTTTAAAGACAGACTGGCCAGGGCTCTGTTTGTGGTGAGATCACTGAGCCTTCTGTTTCCTGGCTGACCAGGCAAATGGGAGAGGACACTGAGATGACTGGGCCTTGGGAGGGGTGTGTCATAGCCAGGGGGAGAGTTAGGGAACCACGGCCTTAGCTGGACCTGTGGGGTCCATGGGGCCTGCTGGAAGGCCCAGCTTTCTCCACCTGAGTCCTCACGTGAGGCCACGTCCTCCCTCTCACTATACCCCGGGCATGAGTCACCTAGAGCCAAGACTGACCGCAGAGGAGCCTTGGGGTCATCCCAGAGAAGAAGGTCCATTGCCGGGGGCCATGGGCTCTCCTCCGGGGTTCTCAGGTGGCAGTGTGGTCAAGACCCAGGGGGAGCGTGGAGACTGCCTTTCTATTGCAAGTTCAGTCATCAGCTCATGAAGTCCCTGTGAGCAGATGCCGGAGACAATGGCAGGGAGCAGCCCAGGCAGAGTCTCAGCCGGTTGCCACCCCTGGAGCCATCCAGGAGCAGACACAGGTGGCCTTGGAAGTGGGAGGCTCCTGAGATGGCCACAGTCCTCAGGAACCGGGAACTGATTACCTTTAGCAGAGTTTCAATTTTGAGAAAGAAGCATCATTAACCACACGAGAGGTGTGAGCCATGGCTCCGGAGAACCCTGCCACTGAGGGAGCTGGGTGTGGGAAACCACAGAGTTTAATGGCTGACACCGTCTCACCCCTTTGCTGCATCATGAGATGGGAAGGTTCGAGCGCCCGCCACAGCGGCACAGAGCAGGGAGCCTGTGTCCACGTGGCAGCCGCGCCCTGCACCCGGGAAGCCACCAGTGGCTGGACTCTGACCGCCACCTGCAGGGCGGCTCCTGCTGCGTCTGTTGCAGTCCTTTCTCTAAGTCACAGATATTTCTAGCGGCCACCCCTCTCTCAAGAGGAAGTTGAAGAAGGAGACCTCCCACCCCCAAGAGAAGGGCCAGCAGAGAAGAGGCCCCTTGAACACTCCGGCGGGATGCTCGAGCTGCGTCTCCAGGGAGGACCTGAGGCAGGGCCTGGCCGCTGCAGCTGGAGCAGGTTCAGGAGCAGGGCCGCCACTGCCCTGGATGCTAGAGACAGCTGTCCTGTGCGCCACTGGCAGGGAGCGGGGGGCTGCACGTGGGCAGGCCAGGCAGAGGCGCAGACAGCCTGAGGGCCGTGCCTTCCCACGCCGACTGGTGGGGAGTCCTGCCCTCGTCCGTGGCCTGCAGACAGATCCAGTGGGAACGTCAGCCCACACCTGGAGTCATTATTGGGGGAACCTTCAGATGTCCCTGTGGAGTCTCCCAGAGGAAGCTGTGGTCCCCAGAAGGTCCAGTGAAGAGAAGGCAGCCACCATCAGGACAGACTGCAGCCTCGGGGGCCACGTCGGCTCAGGGGCTGCAGCTGCGCCGGCACAGAAGCTCCGCAGCTTGTGTGAGCAGGGCACCAAGCTGGACTGGGAAAGGAGACAGTGTTTGGGCCTCATGCAAAAAGCAGAGCCCTATTGACAAATAAATAGTGCAAGCGAGGGGTGCTGAGGACCTGCGTCCCCAGTGCCTCCATGGGGAGGCCAAGGCTCTGCGGCGAATGATGCCACCCTCCCTCCACCTGGGGCTGCAGAGGAGGAGAGAGAGTGAGCCTAAACAGAGAACAGGGCCAGAGAGTGCAAATTGGGCGTGTTTCCATGGCAACGAGTACTGTTTGGCTTCATCACAGCAGAGCTCACAGTAACAAGATAATGGCCAACGTTATCTCTTTTAAAAAGTCGTGCCCCACTTTGGAAAAAAATGGTATGATTGTTAGGAGGAAAAAATCCTGCTATATTAAATTATAGCATCATAAATAAAGCAACTGAGAAAAAGGAGAGACAAGAGAGAAAAATCTGATTAGATGGATAAATGGTTCCAGGCAGAGAGGTGCAGGTATTCCACGGGAGCTCTGACCCCACAGCCAGCCAGCCTTTCTACCCAGATTTAAAATTAATAGAGCAAAACTCTGGCTAATGAGGGAGCCACATGCTTTTATTTGGATAATAACCTTGCATTCACCTCTTTTATTAGTTTAAATTATAAGATGACTAGACTCCATACCTTATTATTTGCCTTAAAAGTGGAATCAGCCAGTCAGATTCTTAAATAGACAGGCACCTGCTCTAAGGCTCAGCCATAAGCACTGCTGCATCCTCGGGTGGTAAGTAACACTTTGTGTTTATGATCCCAAAAATGTTTGCCATTAAAGAGGGACCTGAAACAGGAAGACAAGGTCAAAGAGGGCCAGGGCCAGCTGGCTCCTGCCGGTTCCCACCTCCACCCACAGCCAGCTGCTGCTGCTGATGGAGACCTGCAGCCGCCCTGCACTTGGGTGCGACCCCCAGGCCTGCATGGGTTGGTACAGATGTGGCACCACGAGTGGGCTTTTTACTGATGCTTTATTTATATTTGCATAAGAATTTAAATTACCTCCAGTCTATTTTTTTAATATTCTTGAGGTTTTGTTAGCATTAGGAATGAAATGACTTTGTCCCCTCCCTGCCAACTTCATAGTCTGTGACGATTTTTCAGATGTTAGAACGATGAGCAATCTTCTTCTAATAAAAAGCATGAGGCTTCTATGGACCGTGGCAGAGAAGTTTCATCATTTTATGTGGCTCTGGTTTCTGAGAGGAAGATCCTGGAGTCTCGGGGGGATTTCCCTGCAGACGGGACAGAGTAGGTTTCCTTGGTCACATCTGAACACCTTTCCTTGTGCTCATCCCAGCCTGGACGCCCCCTGCCCTCCTCAAGCCAGAGTGCTGGCAGCCCCCGCTGCAGGGTGGGGTTCTCAGAACTGGAGGTTGGGAATCCTCTGTTCACAAGTTAATGTCATTTTTGGAGACTCGAAGGCCAATGACCTTGCCTTAGGAGGAGACTAGAGAAAGCTCAGTACCCAGGTGTCACTGTGCCCATCGGTGATGGGAACCTTGACAGGCCAGGGACTGCTCAGAAGCTACTCAGGGTCCAGACGAGAAGCACACCCTGAGGGGCTCAGAGAGGGCCACCCCGCAGCTCCTGGGACTCTGGCTGCAGGCCACGGTGTGGCCCAGAGGTGGGCCCTGTGTGTGGACAAGCACGGGGCCTCGGGGTGGGGTCCACTCTGTGGACTAATTGGTGCCCTTGAGAGCGCAGCAGAAGGGCCACGGCTCACAGACCGGGCCACGAGGAGCGGGGTGGCTCACCCAGGGGTTCCACTTCTCCTGTGTAATTCCATAAGGCTTTTGTCTGTGTGTTTCAAGATATTTGAACAGTTTGTCAAGACGAGAATAAAAGAAGAATACAAGGAAAAAAAAAGTAAATTGCTGCTAGCCAAAGAAGAGTTCAAAAAGCTCCTGGAGGAATCTAAAGTGTCACCCAGGTATGGCGGGGGAAGCACTCGGGGTGTTTTCCGGGGGCCAGCAGGTTGTCAGCGGTCACAGGAGGCCTTGAGATTCTCCCTGTCGAGTCAGGTGACCTAACATGCCAGGGACCATGGGACCGTTCCTCCCTCTGGGAAGGAAAGCGGCTTTCCTATCACACCGTGGTGTGACCCTCCCGGGTCTGTCAACCCTCTGTCACCACCTGTGTCCTCCCCACACATATGAAGGTCCCAGACCTGGGCTGCCCACAGCAGTCCCCAGACCCAGGCCGACAGGGCACAGCAGCTCCCAACCACCCTTCCTCCGTCTGACCATTCAGCAGAGTCATGTGAGGGTCAACCGAAGGCCACCAGGGCGAGTGACCTGTGTTGACTTGGTCACCAAGGCTGCCTAAGATAACAAGGAGGGCAAAGAAAGCCGTAAGAGAGGGTGGCAGCAACAGAGGTGCTCCTCAGCTTAGTTCTTTAAAGTCACCTGAACTGAGTCATCTTTTAAAAAAGTGAACATGTGCTCCTTTTAGAACCATGAAATAAGGCATTTATAAGTATAAACATGATGGGTTTGATGCATTTTATTTTAGATCAGCATGGCATTGGTCCTTTCAGTGGAGATGTAGGCTTCCACGTTTGGTGTGTGACCCTCGTGGTCCACGGCTGGGTGGCCAAGTTAGTGTAGCTCACACAACCTGGTAAAGCGTCTTACCTTCCAGATGGGGAGCTGCCTTCCAAATGGGGAGAAATTGAGCACAAATTATCCCCATCACAGAACGCTCATCTAGAAAAGCCTGGAGCCTGGGTTTCCCGTGGCCCCGCAGCTGTGAGAAGTGGGTTCTAGACTCGTCTCCGTCCTCATGAGTGGCTGAGGGAGGGGAGAGGAGGGAGGTGGCCCTGACGCCCATGCAGCTCCTGGCCTGGCCCAGCCAGTAGGCAGGTGCTGGACCTTCATCTGCTTCTGCATCCTCATGGGAATGGGGGTGACCACACCGACCTCAGAGACCCCCAGAGGATGGCATGTGGTGCTGCAGGGCCCACCAATGCTGGGCAGCAGATGCTCAGGACACAGCAGGTGCCACAGGAACAGCCCTGCTGCTGTCCTCACTAGAGATGGTCAGCAAATGTTAGCCACAAGCCAGCACATGAGCCCCTGGGGCTGCTGCACAGTGAGAGAGGGGACCACACACAGCACACACAGCATACACTCACACACACACACCACACACACCATGGACCACACACACCATGGTCCACACACACGCCTTTAAAATGTGCACTTGGCATATATTACTGTTTTGACTTTAAAATCCATGTTTTGACTTTAAAAGCAGCCAAGTCCTCAGCGTCCCCAAAGCCCTTCCGGGGTCTCCTCTCCCTGTCTGCAGCTGGGTCACAGCCATCCCAGTGACACACACACACAGGTGGCTGTGCTCTAGAAAGCCAGGCAACCGAGCCCAGGCCTCGGGGGCAGCATCTGGAGCTCTGTCTCATCCTGTGGTCATCCAGGCTGATCCCCGTGGCCCACCTCAGGTCGCTCCTGAGAAGCTGTGGGAATGGCTGTCTCAGGGACAGTCCCGGGCACTCCAGGTCAGCCGAGCCAGGTGCACCTCTTGGGCAGCAGGATTGATGCCTGGCCCTACAGCCCCACCTCCTGCAGTGGCCAACAGGCAAGAGGCCTTGTTTACCAGAGACCCTGTTTACAGAGGTGCATTGCAGACCCAGATGGCCTCACAAGCTTGGTGACAGCTTGGGAGATCTGCAGAAAGCCAGCGCTGTCCCTCAGCACAGCCCAAGATCACAGAGCTGGAATTCCCCATCCTCTTCAGGGCCTCTTCCTTGCAGGAATGTCAGTAGGTCTGAGTGGGAGTGGCCCCTGTGCAGGCCTCCTGGGCATCCCTCAG